TAGTCTCTCGTAGTATTATATATATACCGTGTTTCGCTTTTTTTCTCCTTTTCTTATTTATCTCCCCTTATTTATAGCTAGTACGCCCCTATACTACGTCGTGGAATACTTATCCGATATATATCGATCTAAGGACTAAGAGTTCTAGTAGGAGTTCTCCCGGTACTTTACTAAAGGAAAATCGGATAAGGGACTTATATTCGACGGTTACTTTAGAGCCCTTACTCTGTTTAGTAATAAGAACTGTATTATTATAGGGCTATAATCTACTAGTTTCGTATTTAAGCAGTGGCGATATAATAATAAGAGTATTATTATAAGGTATCGCTAGTAAGCCGTTAACGCTAGATACGATAACCCCCTTAACCGTCGCCTCCGCGGTATAGTCTTTACCCTAGCCGAGGAAGTAAAGCGTGCTATCGCCGTAGACGTCGCGCGATAAATCGTCGCCATATACCCTTAACCGTAGTTTTTACTAGATAATAATATTAATATCGTTAATTAGCCTTAGTATTCCTAAACGTTCAAGTAGTACCTCGCTATAGCTTATTATAACGCCCCTAAGGCCGTAAACGGCTAGTTCCTCCTTAATCCCCTTACTAACCGCCGTTTAGGCCTTATAGTTATACACTTAGGCTCCTTACTACCGCGTAACACCACGGCGATCGCTTAGACGCTAATCCCTAGCACCCCCCCCTTATAGCTACATAATACTATAATACCCGCCCGTATCCTATATATAGTCTATAAGCTAGCGTCCCTAAGCCTCGGACTAACTAACTCCTTAGAAATACTATAAGGTAATAAGATTAGCGGCGCTGATTTTATCGGTAAAATAAACGATTACCCGGCTAATATTAAACCTCGGGCGGCTAAGATCTAAGCTTTCCTATAGTCGTTATAGACTACCCCCACGCTAGTGATCTATAGCGTAGCTAATATCCTTACCGGGTCCGACTCGGCGCTATCCTAAGTACCGCTAATACCCCCTCGCCTATTACGGCCACTAAACGCCCTTACTAGGGTTATATATCGACGCCTCTAGCTAAACGAATATTCGCTCGCTCTAGCCTTAAGGTGCTATATACCTAGGCTGCGAAGAGCTTCGCGGTTAGCCTAAATAACCTATCCTAGCTAGTATAATTTACCGAGTTTACGCACGGAGATTAGATATCTAGTAAGATTAAATAGCGCTCCTATACTACTATACTACCGCTCCTAGTCGTTATCTAGGCGGCCGTGTTTATTAATAAGTATATAGTTAACCACGATATCTAGAACGCCGCCGAGCTAAACTTACTCGTGGGCTTTTAGTATATAGGTAAGCTAGTATACCTAGCTAAGTTAGATATACTCGGCGTGCTAGAAGATAATGAGCGTGAATATTTAGTAAAACGGTATATCGACGACACGGACCTTGCTAAGGTAGTTATTCGGCGCGCTATAGTAGTAGCGCGCTACTACGAATCCTATAGTAAAAAGGGCGTTATAGTCTTTTATAAAATCGCGTAGCTAATAATCGAGGACGAAGAAGCTAGTCTTATAGAGACAGGATAATATAGCTATTATCCTTAATTATAAGGTATTATATTAGGGTTTCCTAGATATTAACCCGTAGCCGTTAAAGGTTACCGAGATTTGTCTAATAAAGGCGAGATAACAGAGGAAAACCGCGATCGGCTAATAGGGCGTTATAAAGTACTTTAAGTTCGGTATACAGTTAGAGTACTAGGGTTTTAGTATAGTGGTTTAGTATAAGTGTTTAGGTATAGGCGTAAGGACGAGCCGAGAAGATATATTTAGTTAGTTAGCTTACTTTGTCTTATTTACTTTTTTCTCTCTCTTAACTCTCCCCGTTTACTCCTTATCGCTACCTAGTGATTTACTTTCCCCCTCGCGTATTTTATTATACGGAGTAGTAGTAATTAGCGTAGTTAGCGTAACATATTATATTACTATAACCACTATTTCCTTTCTATCGTGAGTATTATTACCGCCTATAGTCACTAAGTTATAACCCGGCGGCGCCGCCTTCCTAAAACGTAAGAGTCTACGCGCCTTACGCTATTAATAAGTTCTATATAGGTTACCGCCCGCGGGATATAAGGCTTTTATTACCCGGGGTATATACTACGCCTTTAGCGAGGATAGCGTAAGTATTATCCGCTTAGCTATAGAGCGGATAGCGCGGGCGCTATCCGCGCGGATAAAGGACGTATAGCTCCGGCACTATCTATATAGATAGGGAATATATAGCGCCCGGACCACGCGCGGGAATAGCGTAGTATAGATACTCGGGTTATAGTTAGACCGGACCGGCTAAGGGATATACCCTCGGCGCGGTTCCCCCTTAGTTTAGTAGAAGATATCTTTATTCTACCCTTATATACTGGAGTAAAGGTCGCCCTTTTAAACCCTAGAAGCCCTAGGTCTAATAGTACTAGCTGGCCAGGGATTTTCCTGGACTGGGCTTATTAATTATACTTAGAGTATTTTAGCCTTAGAGTTTATCTCTTATAGGGATACTAATAAGTCCTTTCCTGATAGGGCGATTAATATCTTTTAGGGGATAGCCTTAGCTAGCGCGGGATAGGTTTATACGGCTAGGGTAGCTATTTTACTAAAGGCTTTCTTAACCTATTACTCTTTATAGGTAGCCTATTACTATACCCCTTTAGTAAAAGTAAAGCAGATATGTCCGCTAAGTAGCTTCTATACCGCTATAGCGTTATATTAGATAGTTATAGCGTTTACGGCTTAATTTCTTTTAGGGTCCTAGTTTTAAGAGGTTAGTTTTCGGGGGAGGTTCCTTAGCGGATAATTAGTTCTCGGTAATACTTAGCGGGGATTATTTTAGGTAGGGCAGGGTTACACGGTAATACCGGGAGCCTAGGTAACGATATTAACCTAAATCTCCTTAGTATTATTAATACCTTTTCGGTATTCCTTATAAATAACTTAGCGGATAAAGGCGTATAAGTATATTAATTATTATTCTTATTCTTATTCTTACTCCGCTATCCTATCTAATCTATAGGAGCCTAGTTTAGACTATACGGTCCTTCTCGGGTAGCTATAGGGGGGAAATCCCGGGATCCCGGGGAAAACCTCTATACTCGTCCTTAGTTAGCGTAATGCCGCTACGGGGCCGATATAGCCCCGGTTCGCCCCGTCTATATATCTGGATCGTACCTTTAGGCTAGTAGTTAACGGGAAGGGTAGGGTAGTAGGCTATAGTTCGGGTTAGCCTAGGCCGGTTATTAGTAAGGGGCGGGGGCCGAAAGGGTGCCACGGCGTCTCCGCTATATAGCGGCCGCGGTATACTAACTTCGGCCTCCTTATATCCCCGGGGCTATGCCTATTATTCCTTTTATTTAATTAATAAAGAAAAGGCGAGGTAGGCGTTCCTGCCTCCCTTAGGGGAGGAGGGGGGGGTGCTTTCTATATCCGGCGGTAAGTAGGAAGGGTAAGGCTCTGCCTATACCCGAAAAATAGTAGATAGATAATAGAAATTAAGGTCCTTTTCCTTTTCCTTTTTACCTTCCTATAACGCTATAGATTATATTATAGGTATCCTTTATTACGTTCCCGCTTATAGCCTTAAAGGCCTGCTATCGCGGTATCGTGCTAATTTATCGTATTTTCTAGTTTTTCTATTCTTAATTAATAATTTTCCCGATTAATCTAGTATGTAGTGGTTTATAGGAAGCGTTATAGTAGTATAGGGTTAACTAGGTAGTATAATAGTAGTAGTAATAATAATTATAATATTAACCGTAAATGAAGTTATATTATAAGTATCTCTATATCGTGGCGGCGCTATAGTAGTAGTATACTAATAGCTGTAAATACCTCCTTCTAGTAATAATAATCGTTATAAATAAGGTACTGTTCGAGTTATACCGTATATATACCCTAGTAGTCCTAGTATAGTATTATAGCGGCTAACCTATAGTAATTATCTTTATTATAGTAAGCGCTTAAGTAGCTACCCCGATAACGTTTCCGCTTATACTAATACTACGGGTATTAGCGCTATATGCTTTTAGTACGCTAAGAGTCGATATCCCTATAAGAATATAAGCCGTCTCTATACTATAGTAGTGCCGCCGGTATATTAAGGTAATCTAATTAGTTAATAGGTCCCCCCCCCGCTATAAAAAAGTAGTAATAATATCTTATAGACGTTTATAGTCTTTATTTATCGGTAAAGGCTATTAATAGCGATAGTATTACTACGGTAAGTAGCCTCCTTTTAATATCGCGGTAGCGCTATACTAATAACCTATCAGGCTAAGGAGCGCCTAAAGACGGCGGCTTTATCTTTTAGACGGGCTGTCTCTTAGGCGCTACCTTCTGGTTATAGCTATAACGGTACCTTATTAGTAGAGGCGCTCCTGTATAATATCCTCCGCCAAACTCGCTATATAAAGGGTATAGTGGGTATCCTAATAGATAACTATATACGTAGTCTTTTTTCGGTTTCGCTACGGCGCCCCCGTAGCAATAGTATAGCTAACCGGTTCTAGGACCTTAAGTATATCAAGAGTAGTATTAGCGCCTTTAAGGGGGGTAAGGATAAAACCAGCGAGGAGTAAAGAAGGGGGGGGGAGGGGGGGGGGGGGGCTCCGGCCCGATAACGCTTTAATACCGCCGGGGTTCTGGCTAGTAAGGCCCTATTTAATACTAACTAGACCCCTATCCTTTTCCTCCTTTATATAGAACCGATTCACCGAATCGGACCGTAGCTATCCAGGTTCGGTTACGCAGACGACTACGGTATACTCTATATATGGGACTCCCTCGAAGAGACCTCGAGTACTGCCTAGGCACTACTAGATAAGATAGTGTAATAGGGGCTTTAGAACGGAGTCACCTTTAACCCTAGTAAGACTAAGGTTATACACTTCTCTAAATAAAAGGAGACTACCCTCCCCCCGATCTCGCACGACGACCGTTAGATACACCCTAACTAGTCTATACGCTGGTTAGACGTATAGCTCGATAAAACCCTCTCCTTTAAAGCCTATATCGAAAACAGGGCCGTAAAAGCCCGATCTATAGCCGGATATATCCGAGGCCTAAACCGAGTTTACCGCGGTGCACCACCCGTAGCTATACGTAAGGCCACCTATATAATCGTGATCCCTAAAGCCCTTTTCGGCGCGGAGATATAGTACTTAAGGGAAACACGCCCCGGCGTTAAACGCAGGAATAGCGGCTACCCGAGGGTCTAAACTAGACTTATAGATTAAATCTCGAAGATCTAAATCTCGATTAACTTCGTACTTAGAGGCTACCTCCTAGTATAGAAGATAACCCCTATCCCTGCTATACTTAGGGAAACTAGCACGCCCCCCGTATAACTCCTCCTAGAGGCGTCGCGATAAAGACACGCACTAAGACTAGGGATATTAGATAAGACCCACCTATCATGCTCCCGTATTAAGAGCCACGGCCCCCTACACGATAGAGGAAACCCTGCCCGGCCTACTATTCCGGTTAAGACTAGGAACCTCTCCCCGGCCTTCCCCCGGCCGACCCTCGCTCCCCCCGACTTTAGCAGGACGCCTATAACCCCACGATAGTTCTTAGATAAGAAGATAGCCACTAAAACCTTCCTCTAGTAAAACCGTAACCGATAGCACGACGATATCACCGTCTTCACCGATAAATCCTAGACCGACACCCTAAAAGGCGCCGGGATAGGATTCGGCTATACAGTGTATAAGGGCACTACTCTTATATACTCCGGTAAAAGACCCCTCGTAAACGCCGAAGTCTTTAACGCGGAGATCGTAGGAGCTAGGGCAGGACTAAACGCCGCGCTAGTAAGGACCTCCCCCTCTATAAAGAATATCACTATCTGCCTCGATAACACTACGGTAATCTAGGGACTCGACGGTCCTAGCACCCTACTATCCTCTAGGGAGGTATTCCTGGACTTTAGGCACTCGAGTAACCTTATTAATATACGAGTGGACACACGCTAGGCCCTAGGATATATAGGAATCCTAGGCAATAAACTCGCTGATAAACTCGCGAAGGGCGGGACCGAGATAGTCCCCTACTTTAAGCCCCCGGCCACCTATAGCCACGCCCGCAGGAAGCTTAACGGACTCAGGAAAAAGGCGTTCAGGAACTAGTAGAGGGAAAACCAGCCTAATAGCTATAAAGGACTATCCCTTAAAACCTCCCTTTAGCCTACCGGCGAACTCCTTATACTAGAATACCGTATATTATACTAGCTCCTAGTAGCCCGATCTGGCTATAGAGACTTCGCTAAGTACTATAACCGATTTAACCACGAAGACGTATACACGACTTGCTTATATAGTAAAAATAAAACCCTAGCCTACCTCTTATTCTACAAGAAAGTCCGAGGACGGATAATCCTATAGTTAGGCCGCCGCTAGTATATAGCGTAATAACTCGGACCAGAATAGCCCTCCTTTATCTAACTAGTAATAACGACGAATTTCTTTAATCGGATATATACCCGGTTCCCCCTCTAAATAGAGGGAACCACCTAAAAAGATATCTCCTCTCTCATCAATTAGAGGGCTATTACGCGACCCACGCGAACCACTAGTAGATAACACTTAAGGAATCTTACTCTCCCTGCCCCCCTACGGCGGGTAAAGGACCCTATATAAGGAAGGCCTATATAGAGCCCTGGCAGGTTTACTCTTACTCTTACTCTTACTTAATATAATAAGAACCGAGATATCCTTATAGATACCTGCAATAGCGACCTCGTTACCTGAAATTAAGGCTGGTAGGTGTTTAACGCCTCGTGGCCCCATATACCACACCCTCTCTTATACTCCCTAATCACCCTACCTCTTATTCTATATGCCGTAAGTCTATATTGCATAGTATGAGTTTTCTGGTTCCGTTTTGGTTTTTATTCTGCTGCACTATAGGCACACTGTATCCAGCGTATGAAAATAATAGGTAGTAGCATTAGGCGTCCTTTGCTCTTTCCAGAGATATCCAGACGTTAAAGAATACTACTACTACTACTACTATATTATAATCTAGTACGTTATATAGATCCCCTTTAGTTATAAGTGGTCTCCTTATAGTACCGAAGAGCTCCCCACGCTCTTTCTTAGTTATGTCCTAGTATAAGAGTATTACGTGCTCCGTTATTTCTGCCCCCCTATTACTATAGGGGCACCGCGTTATTAGGAATCCCGGTACCCTTATTTTAGCTAGGAAGGCTTATAGGCCTAGCTTTTCTAATCTAATTTAGGTATGTACGGTACTCTATAGCTTTAGGAGTCCTTTATATTTCCGGAGGGCGCGTTATAATAGGGGGCGGCTTAATACCGCTACGGTATAGGTATAGGGCCTCCGTGCCTCTACCTAGGTTTAACCCTATTTCCTTATAAGGGTTTTTCCTCGGGGCCGTGTTTCCGGTCTAGGTTATTAAGGCGTTAATTTAGGCTATCTACGCGAGGGCTATATAAGTCCTATAGTGCCGATTCGGTACCGCTAAGGCTCTCGCTACAGTATATAATCCGGCTAATATCTTATCTTTAGTCTCCTCCTTTTATATCCGGCGGACCTTCTAGGCACTTAGGCCTAAGAGATATAGGTTAAGGGGGGGGATAAAGGTCTTTTTTTCGAGGACTCTAACCGGCGTAGCTTTATAGGCTCCGGCTATTAATCGGAGGTATTAATTCTATACTATTATAAGTGCCGCTATAGGGTTATACCGGGGGCCGGCCTTTATCTTATAGACGGTTAAGGCGTAATAGGCGATTATTAGTCGTATTACTACGAGGTATAGTCTTTTTACGTCTATAAAGCTATACCCCTATGCTATCGCGCTAAGTCTTAAGAGGGCGTATATTTAGGTGGCTAGATAGCTCTTTACCTTTTTAGTATATTATCGGAAGTCGAGCTTCCTATTAAGCTAGACGCCCAGGAGCTTTATCGCCTCCGCTACCGGTACCGAAATAGCGTTAAGGGGGAGCGGGGTGGGTAAGGGTTAGTATAACTTTATAAAGGGGATATAGATATACTTAGCTAGTTTAAATTATAGCCCGCTTACTATCTCCTAGTCTAGGTATATCCGCTACGCGGCGGCGAGGCGGTATTATATTTATACCTTTATTCTGCTAAAGGCGATAATATTCGTATTATCGGTAAAACCTACTACTATCGTTTTAAGGACCTTTTTTAATTCCTTATAAAGGGTAGAGATATAGAGGATAAAGAGGATAGGGGAGATCGGGGAGCCTTACGGTATACCCCCGCGGAGGTACCGCGGGGGGGCTATTTCGCTATTAAGTAGAAGCTAGGCCGTACGGTCTTAGAGAAAGCTACTAATTAGGGTAGTAAGTTACTAAGGGAAACCTTTCCTTTTAAGTACTTTAAGGAGGCGAGAGTAAGGGATAGTATCGAATACTCCTTTAATATCTAGTTAGAGTATTAAAGCGGTGCCGTTATAGGCCTAACTCGCTTTTACGGCCTCCGTAACTCTTTATACTATTATCTTTATACTTCGCCCTATCCGGTTACCTATTTATCCTTTTGGGAGGAGCCGATACTCCTCTATTACGGTAACGATCCGGTTAGCTAGTATCCCTTTAAGGACCTTACTTATTATACCAAAGAGTAATATTAGTTATTAGCCCTTTACTATTTTATAGTCGGCTAATAGCCGACTTTCTTTCTTAAGGACTACTATAATAGCGTGGCGGTATCTTTTCGTATAATAGCCTATTTTAAGGCACGCTATAAAGATAGTACTTAGTCTTTAGTATAAGGGGGGTCTATATACTTTTAGGAGTCCTGCTAAGAGTCTATCGGGTCCTAGTACTGCTTAGGATTTAGTCTTTTTAAGGCGCCCCTATATATATCTGCTATAATAATATCGCGGCGGATATTCTACCCCGGGGGGAATTCCGCGCCTAAGGGCCTAGGGGCGGTACTGAAGGGGGGGGGGAAGAATTTCCGGTTAAGGATTTCGGCCTTCTCTACGTGTATAGTTACCGGGTTATCGTTATCGTCTTAGTATAGTAGTAATATTAATAGGAGGTCCGGCGGTATTCCCCTTTTAGGTTATACTTATTTCTATAGCCGTTAAAGGAGGTTATCGTTTTTCCCGGTCGAGTAAAGTAGGTGCCGCTAGTATAGGCGCTTCGTTACCGCCACGGCCTTATCTTAGGACCTCTCCGCTTCCTAGAACTTATCCTATTAGTTCTAGGACTTCCTGGATATATATCTACGGTAGAGGCGCCTTATTTCCTAAGTAAGGGCGGTAAGCTCCGCGTTTTATTAAAGGGTAGGTAGGCGTTTAGGGGTGCCCCCGCGGCGGCGAGGTACGGCTTTATCGGCTAAGGTTATAAGGTCTTCTATTAGTTTATTTAATACTAAGTTAATATCTCCTAATATTATAAAGGGGCCGGTCTATTATAGTTATATAGCGGCAAGCTAGGGGACCTAGGAGAGGTTAAAGTCTTTCTAGACTTAGCGGGGCTTAACTTAGTCCCGCGGTAGTGTTATCGCGGTAATCGGCGTGATATCTATCTTTATAAGGATTTAGGCTATCTGTAAGTAGTAGTCTAACCCGATAATAGTCTTATTAGGGCCGCTAAAGTTATAGCGAAGCCCTTATATTACCTATATAAGGTTAATAGTACTAGCACGCCGGCCTAAGCGGTATTATATAGTTATTCTAGGGGGGGTTATTAGGTCTAGGTTTTACCGGGTTATAAGGGTAAGTAGGGTATCGGCCTAGGGGTAGTACCGTGGTGGCTATAACTATAGGGGGTAGTATAGGTTAAAGTCCCTTATGAGGACGTATCGGCCCCGTAGCGGTGCTATATCGAATATATCTTATAGGAGTATAGTCTAGGTAATCCTAGCTGACTAGTAGTTCTCTAAGTAAATTAACTAGATTATAAGGGTACTATCTCCGGTCCCGAATATAACCGTATAGGTATCGTGGTAGGCCCGCTACGTTTATATATATAGCAGGTATCTTTTATAGATATATAAAAGGGCGCGGCGTCCTCCTTAGATTAGCCGGTATACCCTTAAAAGGGGTAGGCGGGGCTTTTCGTGAAAGGGTTAAGGCCGGGTTCCTGGATTACTATTATATTATACTCGGCGCGGTACCGGAGCGGTAGCTCCCGCTACGCCTAACTCCTCCCTATATTCTATAAAAGGATATAGATTTCTATTAATTAGTAGGAGGGGGGTTTAGATAATATACCCGGTATAACCGGGGTCTAGCTTTAGGGTTCCTACTACGGTGCCTTATTAGCCCCACGGGGGACTATATAGGCGCTTATCGAGCCTAGTACACCTCGCCAACTACCGCGACGATACTACCGCGGGACCTAGCCGGGCCCCGCTAGGTCTAGAAAGACTTCGACCCCTTATAGGTCCCCTAGCTCGCTACGCGGCTATAGTAGACCGGCCCGCTTATATCACTAGAAGATATCGACTTAGCACTAGATAACCTAATAATAGACCTCACGAATATAGCCGATAAGGCCGCGCCGCGCCGTTATAGGGGCACCCCTAGACGCCTATCCACCCCCTAATAGAACGCGGAGCTAACCGCCTTTACCTAGGAAATAAGGCGCCTCCACCGTAGATATATATCCAGGAAGTCCTGGAACCGATAGGATAAGTTCTAAGAAGCGGAGAGGCGCCGAGATAAGGCCGTGGCGGTAACGAAGCGGATATACTAATAGCACCTACTCTACTCGACCGGAAAGGACGATAGCCTTCTCTAGTGGCTATAGAAATAGGTATAAGTTAAAGGGGGCGTATTACCGGACCCCTTAATAGTGCTACTACTACACTAAGATAATAGCGATTACCCGGTAACTATACACGTAGAGAAAGCCGAAGTCCTAAACCGGAAGTT